ATATTGTTACGTACGTAGTGTATATTGTTACGTACGTCGTGTGTAGATACATGGATTGTTACACCCCCAATCAATCTATCCATATATATATTAACATATGGAGTATTTTGACAAAATTATTCTGCCTTTGGTAAGTTATTTTGAAAATACAGATGATGAGCTTGTTTTTTTTTTTCCTGCTGGTGTGTTGTGATCTTTGGAGACTGACCGCAGCGCAGCTCCGGCGTCCGGCAGAAATAGGATTGAATCTAGTTTTGGTGTCTCAGCACCACTGTGTGGAGCCGTGTAAATCCTCTCATTGATTATAATGGTTGTGTATTTACTGCGGAGGTCGGACCGGAGCCGCCTCTRGTGTAAATTAGGGGTAAAGAAGTCGACTTGAGTTACATGAGTCGCTGCATCCCAAGGCACAAGTTAAACAAGTTTATAAAACAGCCCACAGGAAGTTGTCTGTGGTGGGAGACAGTGAAGTGCAGCTTTGAGCAGACAGTTTAAATCTAAATGTAACTTTTCATATATTTCTGTGAGTTTTAGTTTTTATATAAACTGTAAACTTTGTCTCCATCAGTTCTAAAAGCATCCTAAATGTCTCAGTTCTGTGTCCCGTCATGTTCTGTMTCAGGCGGACAACAGGAAGCGGTACAAGGAGGAGGACAACGACCACCTGAACGACCAGAGTGCAGCAGACGTGGCGTGGAACAAACACAAGATGCTGAACGAGTCCATCATCGTGGCTCTGTTCCAGGGTCAGTTCAAATCCACGGTGCAGTGTCTGACCTGCCACTGCAAGTCCCGCACRTTTGAGACCTTCATGTACCTGTCGCTGCCCCTGGCCTCCACCAGCAAGTGCTCCCTGCAGGTACACCTTTACCTTTACCTGTTTCAAACCTCCGCCTCAGGGTTTGTCCGGTAACTATTCTGTTTCTGCGTCGGCAGGATTGTCTCCGGTTGTTCTCCAAGGAGGAGAAGCTCACCGACAACAACAAGGTGTTCTGCAGGAAGTGTAAAGCTCACAGAGATTCCACCAAGAAGCTGGAGGTCTGGAAGGTTCCCCCGATTCTTCTGGTGCACCTGAAACGGTCTGTGGTTGTTATGGATGTGTTAAACTGTGCAGCTGCAGATTTACAACCTTCAATTATTAACTGAGTCAACGCTGAGTCAGCATTCAGAGTCCTAAACTATCTGCTGAGTCAGCATTCAGAGTCCTAAACTATTTGCTGAGTCAGCATTCAGAGCCTTAGTTAATTGAGTCAACGCTGAGTCAGCATTCATAGATTTTGGCTGTTTTGCTCATATTAGGTAATCGGTTTGCTACTTTTAAATTTTAGCTACCTTGATTATTTTAGAATTTATAAGGGTATTTAGCAGTGTTAGCTTTTAGCTGTTGTTTATAAAATTTAGGCTTTTTATAGCTTAGCTTAATGAAGCTTTTGGCCATTGTTTTGATGTTAGTCATGGTTTTGCTATATTTAGCTTTTAGCTACGTTTTTGTTATTTTAGCTTTTATTTGTGGTTAAAGTAATTTGAACTTTGATATGCTGTTCAGTCTAGCCGGGGGCGGCTGTGGTGTAGTGGCAGAGCAGCCGGCTTGGGGCCCGAAAGTCACAGGTTCGACTCCCTGCCATGCCCACATGTCGTGGTGTCGTTGAGCAACACACTGCTCCACCTGGGGGTGTCTCRTGTGTGATGGTTCAAATGCAGAGCACAGGTTTTGTCGTTGAATGGGAAACCTGCATCGATGACCAATAAAAGCACCTTCAGCTCTCTCTTATAAATAATGAGTTTTTTCTGGCTAAGTGAGGTGAATTTCTCTGGTTCTGCAGGTTCTCTTATGAAGGCAGGTGGAAGCAGAAGCTGCAGACGTCTGTGGACTTCCCTCTGGACAGTCTGGACCTGAGTCAGTACGTCATCGGACCCAAACACAACCTGAAGAGATACAACCTTTACGGCGTTTCTGTGAGTCGCACAACAAGACGTTTATTTCTGGCTTTACATGAACCTAATGTTTGTTTGTTTGTTTGTTCAGAATCACTACGGCGGCCTGGACGGCGGCCATTACACGGCGTACTGTAAGAACGCCCAGAAGCAGCGCTGGTACAAGTTCGACGACCACGAGGTGACRGAAATCTCCTCATCTTCGGTGAAGTCATCCGCAGCCTACATCCTGTTTTACTCCACGCTGTGAGGACGCCGCCGGAGCGCCCTGGCTCCAGGTTTGTTTTCAGAACGGCGGCTCTCAGGGGGAGGAGCCTGAAGCTGCGGGTCACGAGGTCACAGCGAGACCCTGGAGGCGTTCGGCYGTTTGAGCTGCTGAAACCTGCCGCCCGCTCACATTACTGACCATCCAGAGAAAACGCTGCTCTCTCTCGTTAACCCACCTTTCTGCTATAGTTTTAGGGCTGACAGCTGATCTTCGCTCTCATGTCTGGTTCAGAGCGGCGGCGGCGGCGCTGCAGAACTGACCGCTGCCTTCGTGTACACAGAATCAACAGTTAGATGTACATTCTCAACAATGCTGATGTTGCACATTCTGATAGCTTCTGTAAATACTGGAGGGTGAAATGTTTCAGTGACCAAATTAATCTTTTTTTTAAACATACCGTAAACACTCAGACTGTTTGATTTAAAGGTGGTATCTCATTTCTAATAACTTTAATAAAGCAGCTCGTCCTCTCCTTGATCACAAAACTAAATTTAGTTTTTGTTTTATGGAGGCTGCCATGTTGGATTTATAGCCCATCTTTAGGAGGATAGCCCCGCCTCCTCACTAACAGACTGTCAATCACACTATTTCCTTAAACCTTTAATGACTAATTGAAACTGATCATATTAGAAAAATGTAAAATAGAGGGGCGGGGCTTGAAAGTTGTCCTGGGCCCGGCCACTAGGGGGTGGGCTGTCCCTTCACAGGTCCTGTCCAAAGTCTGTTAATACGGGTAGACCTCGGACCAGAACCACAGATGAAGCCCCTCACGTCTGCTGGGTCCAAAAACACAACATGGCAGCTTCTGTGAAGCGGCTCTGCCAGCAGTCCTGACACAAAACGCTTCAAAAACAAACCAAACTGACGTATTTTATGTCAAAATGAGGCGTTTATTAAAACCAACGCAGCGTCACGTCGACCTCAGAGCTCAGCAGGGATCAAAAACATATTTTCACAAATTCACAGTAAAGTTTTAAYTTTATGACGACATGATTCTGTTTGATCAAACAAACGATAATTAACAACAAAAATAACATAAAGGAACAATTAAACAGGAATTTTTAAGTTTAGTTTGATCAGCTGATTAAAGAATGKTTAAATAAGTTACCAAAGTAAGTGAAAGGACAGTGTTTTAATTATCTGCTTAGTATTTGGTAGATTTAAGGTCAAATACTTTAATATCACAGATGTAGACTAATAAAGTTATAAATAGTTACTTTAAAAACATAAGTGTGTCAGAGGTTTTAATGCTGTTCAGGAACGATCATGTATTTAAAGTGTCTCCAGATTTATCTGTAAGAATGTAAAACTTTATATAAATTTAATTAAAAACATTCTGGTTCTTCTGTTGCTGACCTTTGACCTCATCACGTGACGTTATGTTGCTGCGATTTGACAAAAATACGACCAAAAACAGCCAAACGTCCAGGTCTGAAGCCCTCTGATGATGATTAAACTCTGGTCTGGTTGGTTCAGTCTGAGTAAATATGTACGCCACCAAGAATACAGCGTGTGGACGTGAGCCCAGGCTGGTGATGCAGTGAGATACCACCTGAACAGAAAAGGGACAAACTGTGATCTTTTTATTTTTCTTCAATGAGAACAAGGGAACAAGAACCACCTTGTTTGCTTTAACTGAGAACTGACGGCTCCGCCTGCGAACTTTCTACCTTTAATATATTCAAACACTAGGAAGACAGAAACTGTTTAACTTCACTAACGATGCTGGTTTGATTTTGCTCATAAATTACATCTTTTTGTTGTCTGAGCCGGAGCAAACGAAGACCTGATTTCTGGATTATTCTGGATTATTTACACACGAGACGGAGCAGAGATCTGAACTCTTTCTTGCCTAGCATGAAATTATAATCTGTTATTCTTTAAATTCTTCCATGTTTTCTTTAATGCTCTAAATAAACAAACGTTACAGATATAATAACCTGAAACATATTTATTAAAAGTACTTCAACAGAATCCTGTGAGCGAGCTTTTCTTTCAGAAACCAACGCGTTGCTCTGACGCCACCTGGTTCAAATAAAAACTTCATCTGTCTGTAAATAAAACCGACCGGCTCAGACGATCCGGATCCTGGGGGTCTGGAAGGGTCTCTGGCTGTACAGCAGCACGTAGGCGTTGGCGGACGGCACCAGGCTCTCCTGGACCTCCCTGACGTCGGCGTCGTCGAAGCAGAACCAGGTCTGAGCCGGGGCGTTGTAGCACACGGCCGTGTAGTGACCCATGTTCAGGTGACCCATGTGGTTCTTGAGAAGAGGACGAGTCGTTTTAACGCCAAGTTAAAAGCTTTACATTTTTATTCATCTGGAAAATAAAGCAAAACAAATACGAAGTGCTCACCACCACAGCGTACAGGTGGTACGAAGACCCTTTCTGCTCAGGACTGGACAGGTACGGACTGAGGTCCAGCTTCATGGAGAACGAAACGTTGGTCCTCAGTTTGACCTGATTCTTCCCCTTACAGCAGAACCTGAAGAGGAGACAGGAAGTTAAACCAGAACCTACAGAGGAGACAGGAAGTTAAATCAGATCCTTCAGAGGAGACAGGAAGTTAAACCAGAACCTGAAGAAGAAACAGGAAGTTAAACCAGATCCTTAAGAGGAGACAGGAAGTTAAACCAGATCCTACAGAGGAGACAGGAAGTTAAACCAGATCCTTCAGAGGAGACAGGAAGTTAAACCAGAACCTGAAGAAGAAACAGGAAGTTAAACCAGATCCTTAAGAGGAGACAGGAAGTTGAACCAGATCCTGAAGAGGAGACAGGAAGTTAAACTAGAACCTGAAGAAGAAACAGGAAGTTAAACCAGAACCTACAGAGGGGACAGGAAGTCAAACCAGAACCTTCAGAGGAGACAGGAAGTTAAACCAGAACCTTCAGAGGAGACAGGAAGTTAAACAAGAACCTACAGAGGAGACAGGAAGTTAAACCAGAACCTACAGAGGAGACAGGAAGTTAAACCAGATCCTAAAGAGGAGACAGGAAGTTAAACCAGAACCTTCAGAGGAGACAGGAAGTTAAACAAAAACCTTCAGAGGAGACAGGAAGTTAAACCAGAACCTTCAGAGGAGACAGGAAGTTAAACAAGAACCTACAGAGGAGACAGGAAGTTAAACCAGATCCTTCAGAGGAGACAGGAAGTTAAACCAGATCCTTCAGAGGAGACAGGAAGTTAAACCAGATCCTAAAGTGGAGACAGGAAGTTAAACCAGAACCTACAGAGGAGACAGGAAGTTAAACCAGAACCTAAAGAGTCATAATATTACTTTATTTTCATACACATTTAATTTATTCTTGTAACGTTATGACTTTAATGTCATATAATATGACTTTATTCTAATAATTAAAAAAAGTAAAAATTATGGTGCGGCCCTGATACTCCATCGTACCACACATCTGTCACTCCCTGAAAATAATCTAAAATGTGAGCCTCAAACTGAGCGACAGAGGGCTCTGATGGTCACGTCCACAGAGGAGATGAGAAGTTAAAGAACCTCACTTCCTGTTTGTGACCTTTGACCTCTGAGAGAAAACCACAATACTGAAGTTTGGATGGAGAAACAGGAAGTTAAAAAGTTCAGATGGCTGAAAGTTAAAACCTCAAACAGAAAATGTGGTCGAGTAAAAACCGTTAAAGGTCAAAAAAGTCCAACTTTCAAAATCGTGTCCCCCGAGAACCAGACCTGGTTAACCAGAACCAGAACCAGACCTGGGTCTTACCCACCGTTTCAGATGCAGCATCAGGATCTCAGGAGGTTTATCTAAACACGTGAGGACCGCCGTCTCTCTTCTCAGACCACATTCTGAACAGAGCACCTGCTCCGTCCCCGTCAGGACCGTCTCCTCGAAGAACAGAGACAAGCAGTCCTGCACCAGCACAGAGGGGACAACATGAGGCTGGAGACCACCGGAGCGAGGAGACCCACCAGAGGACCTCTGCAGGTACCTGGATGGAGCATTTCCTGGTGTCTTTAGGGATGGGCAGAGACAGAACCGTGAAGCTCTGCCGGTTCTGGGCCCGGTGGTCGCAGTGCMGGCAGAGGGTCATGTAGCTCAGCTGGCCTTCAAACAGGTGGGACACCACGGTGGACTCGCTGGTCCAGGTCCTGTTCTGTTCTCTTCTCACCTGCTGTTTCAGGCTGGAGTTCAGATGACGCTTCGCAGCCTGAAACACAAACCRGCAGAAAGATTTACTGCAAAACTAAAAGATTATAAAAGGTTCATGATGAGCCAGGACCAGCAGGACCAGGTACAGTTCCCTCCATMCCTAAGTCCYGCCTCTACACGCTGTCWATCACAGCGTAACATGATAAATAAAATAAACAACAAACATCAACATGTAAATAAAAAGTCTGAAATTAAGTTTGATTTTTGTCAATTTTAAAATCAACATTAGCATATTTGATTATATTAGCYTTTAGCTACTGTATTGCTAGTTTGTGTTTAGCTACTCATTTGCTAATTTTAGTATAGCAGCTATTTTATTGCTTAGCTTTTAGCTTTTGCTCATTCTGATTATAGCTACAGTTCAAATTTTAGCTTTTGGTTAATGTTTTGCTTGTTTTAGCTTACAGTTACTCATTTCTAGCCATAAGCTACTGTTTTGTTCATTTTAGCTTATAGCCTCAATTTAGTAAATTTAACATTTCAGCTACTGTTTTGCAAGTATAGTTTTTAATAGCTTTTTTTGCTGTTCAGCTAGTTTTAGCCTATAGCTACAGTTCTAATTTGAGTTTTTGCATAGTGTTTTGTTCATTTTAGCTTATA